TAGCAGAAGATTCATTCTGATTTTGCTCATCCTATCGATCGAAGTAGCCACTTTCTCTCTCTCTGCGAGCATGGCTGGAAAACTTTTTCTCTCTCTCTCTCTCTCATGGCTGGAAAACTCTCTCTCTCATACACACATGCCAGCGCCCCGCCTGCCGCGGCATCGTCGCGGCGCGCCAGTCACTTGTTTTTTCAAAGAAAAGAACAGAAAAGAAGAAAGATTGGGGCAACCGCTCGAGTCACAACCCACCTTTTGAATAGGCAAAAAACACAATTGGCGGCAGGTCCATCCCCACCACAGTCGAAAAAGGCAAAAAAAAACATTGGACGGCGTTTCGGGTATAGGGCCTCGTCGAAATTGACAATCTTGCAATTTTCTGCACACGGTTTTTTTTCTTTTTTTTTTTCTTTTTTTTTTTTCCGGCTGACGACCTTGACATCTTGGCCGTTGGCGTTGCCCTGCCCAGCTGTGGCCCAAACATCTCGGCCATGGCCCAGCCTGGCCGTAGCCTAGACATATCGGTCGTGGCCCAGCTCGGCTGTAGCCTACACGTCTCGGCCGTGGCCCAGCTCGGCTGTAACCTAGACATCTCGGTCGTGGCCCAGCTCGGCTGTAACCTAGACATCTCGGTCGTGGCCCAGCCATGCCGTAGCCTAGACATCTCGGCTGAGGCCTGAAAAGTTCTCGGCCAAGGCTGCGACCGCCCCGATCATCAGATCGTGCAGCCGAAAACGGCCGTGCCAAAATCAGCATGGCCCCTGCGCAAGGATGACAGGCATAAATCGAGAAAGGGTCTGGATTAGCAAGGGCCCACGAAGGGACTAGAACTGGCTCTGGGCCCTGATAATAATAACAAAAGGGAAGAAAAAAAAGAGAACCCCCCTTCCCCCACCCCGCCGACCCCACCCTACTCCCTGACCACCGTGGATTAGGGCAGGGGGCAGCATGCATCCCCTTAAACCACCAATACTCGGCCCATACACCGGCCGCAGGCCATTGTCGTTGACGGCCCGCAACTTCCGGGCTTCGGGGCAGCTTTGGGATGGGTTGGGTGTTGCTTTTTTGTGGGCTCAGCATGGGGTTGGACTGATTCCTTGACGGACGTTTCGAGGTCTGCCCGTTGGAACTACCGGCCTCGCGTCCGTACGGATTTCGCAGGCGGGAAAAGCAAATGTGAGCAGGCAGGAAAAGCAAATGTGAAAAGGGATCCCACCGACCAGTCAGTCTTTCGAGAAGGCCGGCCGAAAGGCCTATTTGCCACATACGGGTCTGACATACGAGCCTTTTGTTTTTTATGTTTGTTTGTTTTTTTGCAAAAATCCACATTTTAAACCACCCAAAGAACGGAAAAAAAAAAAAACCTTAAAACATGCTTACAACACCATAGCATGGGCCTCCCTCCAGTACTCCCGAAATGAGACAAAGACGAAAATGTATGCGGTATCTTTCCATGTTCAAGCGGATGATTGACTCTCTTTTTGCAAATGTCGAGAGCAGAGGAGAGAGGAAAGTATAGGGCCTCGCTCCACTGCTCTCGACATCGCCTACCTTTATGCAATGAATGGCGGTCTATCTTTCGATGTTCTAGAGGAAGATGCACTGCCGTTTTGCAAATGTCGAGAGTCTAGCAAGTAGTCGACATGCTACTTTGTCACGCACTCGACGACATGATTACAGGATGGGGGCATGGAAGATTCCAGGACGAAAACGCCCGCCGGTGGGACCAACCCCAACGGCCATGGCAGTATGGCAACGCGCCTGTGACAAACGACGGTGGAGGGGACGAGACCGTCATGGCGAACAAGGTGGACATCCGTGGCGAAATGGAGACCGTGAAAGGGAACAAAAAAAAAAAAAGACAGGCCCACCTGATAGCGGGAAAACATGAACAAAAAACCGTATGGAAAACAGCCGTACGTACCGAAGTGAAGATTCTCCAAGGCAACGTCCGTACAAACGGACATATGAGCCTGTCCGTTCAGCCGGACCTGCCAAGAGGCCGAAGTGCCAAAATTCGGGTACCGGTAACGGTACCCAAAAGTTTTCAAATCGACATCCATTTCGGGGAGGCTCGGGGAAACTCCGTGCGCAAGGCATATTCAGCCTCAGCTTCAATAGCTGGGCCAAGTAATTGTGAGAAGTAGCGATGCTTGCAGGGGTTCCCTGCATATGCTTAGGAGTAGTGGTAGGTAGATAGTGAAACGTGAAAGAAAAAAAAACACCAATGGACAGGAAGAGAACAATAAAAAAGGGAAACTAAGAATGAAGGTGACAGGTGGCGCGCGCAGTGGAGAAGCTGGGAGCAGCCGCTCCCAGAGTTCATGACAGGTGCCCCTTACTTTTTGTTTTTCTTTTTTAAAAGGCTAATTCTTTTAAGCCCAACCAATTCCATTACCTGTCAAATCTGAACAAGGCCCAGCAAATTTGTCATTTCCTGGACCGCTTTCTTTTTTTTCTAGTTTTTTTCCCCCCCCTGGTGTAAGCACCCCTCGAAGTTCACGCATTGCAACTGCAACTGGCCGCAGTACCACACGGTAGGGCCAAGCCCTAAGCGGTTCCATTCAACAGATGAATCTTCAGCTGGAACATGGCAAGTTACAGCACCACATGGAGCCACAGCCATCATAGGGGAGCTGCCTCCTCGTTCCCAAGAGATTCCGGGGCAGAGAATCTAACAAAAAAAAAGGAAGAATTTAGCTAAGACAGTTACAGGCTAAAAAAAATTTGCTGAATAGGAAACCTCGTACTCCTGCCACGTAATGTTTTTTTTTTGCCTTTTTAAACTCGAACGGCATCAATTTCGCCACGTCATGTTTTCCCTCCCCATCTGAACTAAACAGGTGACCCACGAGCAGTTTCCCCTTTCTTTCCCCCCCCTTCTTTTCCCCAATTTCACGTTCCTCCCCCGCCCCTCCCCCCACCCTTTTTGTCCTTTTTTCCAATTTCGATTCTAGTATATTGTTTTGGGCCCATCTGCCTTTTTCCTCCGAACCTAAGCGATGCCTGATCACTGTAGATTTCGGCCCGGTGCTTGTCATCAAATTCTACCATACAATACAGGAGCAGATGGACCGGTGGTTTTGACATCAGCTGGTGCCTCAAGATCTTTACACGAGTTCAAACCCCAGCTGCAACCATCAGGTACTTCGCACCTGACCATCCATACCAACTTCAAAGCCCTTTCGTACCTCACCATCCATGCCAACTTCAAGGGCCCGCTTCACTAATACACGTATACGTGGGTGGGTGGGTGAGTGGGTGGGCGGGCGAGCGAGCGCATGTGAGTGAGTGGGTGGGACCATGCTTTGTTTTCGAAAAAAAAAGGGGACGGCCCCAGCTAATTCAGATCTTTTTTATTTTGTTTCATCTGACTGCAACTGGGTTCGAACTTGCGTCCGTACCAACTGCCTGATGGGTTAACCGCTGAGGTAGACTGGGTCCCAGTAAGCATGTACAAACAAAACGGGTCGTAAAAATGAGACAGCGACCCAGTTAAGGGTCCTCAAAATGAGACAGGGACCCGGTTAAGGGTCCTGAAAATGAGACGGAGAGCCAGTCAAGGGTCCTCGAAATGAGACAAGGACCCAGTCTACCTCAGCCATCAAGTCATCAGGCAGTTGGTACCTCAGGATGTGTGTGTGTTGTCAAAGCACCTTAAATTCTCTCTCTCATTTCCTCCACAAAATCATAACATAACGTAACCATCCATAACGAAAAAGTATAGATAGACAAGATAATAGAAAATGCAACGTTGGCCACGTTGGTGTAGTTCAGCGTCAGTGCCTGCGCACTGCACACACCCGTCTGCCACCGAAGCGGGGCACACTTGCACCTATACATGTGACGATATATACATATATTTATTTGATCCGTAAAAGGGTGGAGGGCAAGAAGCAACTTACCTTAGACAGAGGAGGGTGGGTGGCTGGGTGGGCGGGTGCGTGCTAGAGCAATCGATCAAGTTCTTTTGCGCGCAAAAAAAAAAGAAAAAAAAAAAACTCAATGCGAAGACGTATTGTTCTTTTGCACGAAATCGCAAAAAGCAAAACCTGGCACGAAAACGATCGCAAAAAAAAAACAGCACTCATCAGAGGTGTCAGAGCATCACACAGATCGTCAGATGCGTCAGAGCTTTCTTGATTTGGCAATTTTCAATTTGGCAATTTGCTCTTTTGCCCCTCTAACGCTCTGACACATCCTGCTCACTGTCAGAAAAGATCGCGCAAAAATGCCCTGACGACATTTGCTGCAGGTCTCTATGCTCACTGACTCTCACTTTTGAGCAGGCAGACTATCCACTTGTCTGCGAAACACACAACCAAGCGTCAATCAAATAAGTCATTTCAGGACGAGTTTCAACCGCCAATTCCACTATCGGACGGGGAAAAAAAGCCATGATGGGGTCTGACACGGCCCGCAGCTGATAAACTTTATTATATCGATAGTAGACTAAGTAGAGATAGTTGAGATGTCCACAAATAGAAATCAATCCCTCGTTGCTACAGCACTGCCAACCTGCAACGTTGCATATTCTCTCTCTCTCTCTCTCTCTCTCTCTCTCTCTCTCTCTCTCTCTCTCTCTCTCTCTCTCTCTCTCTCTCTCTCTCTCTNTCTCTCTCTCTGTGGCTCGCTCGCTCACACACACACACACACACACACGCACACACTGCCAACCTGCAATGTTGCAAACTCTCTCTCTCTCTCTCTCTCTCTCTCTCTCTCTCTCTCTCTCTCTCTCTCTCTCTCGCTCGCTCGCTCGCTCGCTCACACACACACACACACAAACTCAACATCCTCAGGTGAAAGCTCACCTCCCCGCTTCCCAAGTCTGTAACATAAAAGCCAGGATATTGGGCAGAGTTGAGTTTAAGAATTGTGTCATTTAATAATGCGGGGGGAAATATTCTTTTGCAGGGACGAGAGAACAGGGTGGGGAAAAAAGGGAGGTGAGAAGAGAGAGTGAGAGACGTTAATCGGTGCAATCTACTATGAATGGGTCGACGAGCCGGATGAAATCATCCGTTCGAATCCCCAACTTCAGATCTACCTCCCCACCGCCAAGCCAGAAGAACGGTGGATTGAGATTTGTGATTTCATGCGACAAGATGACTGGTATGTTTGTCTTCATTCCGAAGGGAGTAACAGCATTGTGACCGAACCCCGTAAGTTCTTGCGATATGTCCGATTGAGCGAGGCGCATATTGAATCGTTTTTTTGATACTTTGCCTTTGTTTAAATCATAAAGAAAATCCTTCAGCTTCTTCTCTTTCAGCCTTGCCGCATATTGTATCACCACAACGTAATACTTCGAATTAAGCACATTGCTGCAGTCCCTCACATGCTCTTCCGCCTGCGTGTTTACCATCACAATGCTCTTGCAAAGGCATTCAATAGAGTCAGCACATAGCATCTCCCTCCGAGCTTCTATCGGGCTATCATAGTAGTGCGGAGGTACACGTCGGAACAAGAAGTCCTGAGCGCCCCCGCTCACGAGAATCCTTGTGATCATCGTTTCCACATTACTCTCGTTGCCGTGACATTCTCCTTGTTGAGCCGCTGCCTCCTTCTCCCCCTCCACAGAGATTCCGCACTGGCCACCATTCTCCTTCCCAATCGCAATGCCATTCTCTGCAGCAACAAACTCGTTGTCATCAACTGCACACTCTGGTCCATGAGACGTCGCCGCCACCGCCGCCGCCGTTGCCCCCTTCTTCTCCTGCTCCACAGAGCTTCTGCACTGGCCACCACCGTTCTCCTCCGCGATCTCAGTGCCGTTCTCTGCAGCAATGGTCTGTTTGTTGTCGTCCGTTCGCTCGGATCCATTGCACTGTCTATGGCCCGTGTCGCCTCTGACACCGAGTTTTTGCAAAAGGCGAGCTTCGATGTCATCTATTCTCCGCAAGATTTCGGTCTGCCGCACGCTGAGCTCCTCACAACGAGCACAAGACTGTGGTTGTAACATAAACGACTCGAGCTTCGATGTTAATCTCTCGATCTTCTCTGAGATCGCTTCTTGTTGCTTCGCAAGAATCTCTGCTTCTTTCATCTCCACGCCCCCAATACCCTCCGCTGGCCCCAAACACCGATCGTCGGAACTCCGGCAGCTGTCCATTTCATGCACCTAGCAGGGAGTGCAGACCTAACCTGCGATTTACGTGCAGTTAGTCACACTAAGAAGCACTAAGAAGATAAAAAGATTCTACAGGCAGGGGGAGGAAACGAGACCAGCACACAGTCATAAAATACCACGCCATTGCCGGCAAATTGCCACATTTCACTGAAAAAAGGGTGCAAAGAAAGTTATAGGGGCCGAGCTGTGGTCGTCAGGACTGAGAAGCTATGGGTAGAGATGCACAACAGCATCACCATCGTCACAGACAAATTCCACATGTGCCGCATTTCATTAAAACTCAAAAAAAAAACTAGACCTCGAAAACAAGATCTGTCTTAAACCACCAGTACATCCGCACCTAAAATCCCGAACCTACCTGCCCACTGCGCGCCACTATTTTCCGAGCCTTCTGCGTGAAGGTACCTGCAGTGGGAATTTCGGAAGTGGCACCGGTGCCGGGGGTCTTCCTGAAGGAAAAAAAAAAAGAAAAAAAGAAAGGAACAAACAAGCCAGAGATCAATGATGTCGTCGAAGGATGTCATGGAGGGCATACTCAAGTGATCACTTTCCAGAATGCATCTGACCACTATTACGGGGAGAGGGAAACATTGCTGTTTTTTCTTTTTTTCTCCTTTAGTGTTCTTTTCTTCCTTTCGCTGCCAGCAAGGCAGCGCATATACCTCGTGCTCAAAACGCCCTCGCTGAGGGCATACTCACACTAGCGCCGTTGAAATGAATCCAACCACTTTCACGGCCAAAGCTTGGTTGGCTCTTTTTTTTTTTGTTCTTTTTTTTTGTGTGTGTCTGATAGTCATGCTCCCTGTGTTCTTTGTTCTGCCAAAGTACTCCCTTTGTTCTCTGTTCTTTTTTTTTTTCTTTTTTTTTGTCTGACTTTCACTGAGAGCAGACTCACACGGAGGACTCCAAAAAAGTGTATCCAACTGCAATCACGGCCAAAGCTTGTTTTGTTTTTTGGGAAGTGCGGATTCGACATGCGCCCAGAAAATCGAAAACCTTCTGACACTCCGACTCTGCCCCGAGCCCGCCTTTTACTTCTTGTGGCGACACGTTATTTTGGTGCAAGGCTGAGGCCGTGTACTGGTGCTTCAAGGGAAAAAAACAAACCAAAACGAAAAGTGTTTCAAAATCAGTTCGTGCATTGCACATCAGTTCGTGCATTATGCTCGCACAGCTGATAGCGGGCTATAGCAGATGATCCCGGTCATCAACATGGCTATGTTCGTGCTAGGAGAGCATGAGCCCGGTCATCAACATGGCCAGGCCCTTGACCACATTACAGATGATCAGACTTGTTGCTAGGTTTTCTGGTTTAATTTTTCGTTTGGAATCGCCGTTCTTAAACCGGGTGAAGGAACCCGATGCTAAATGTATGAGCCTAAATCTACCATATTGCTGAGCCCCTGAAAGCAACCGGTACCACCGCATGGAAAAAGGTGGTGGTACCGGCGTTGACCGGGTGAAGGAGGAACCTGCCGGCATGTAAAATTAGCCGTGTGTTCCACCGCGAGTCGGTCGCCCACGGGAGGGCTATTCCCCGGCGCCTGCAACCTGCAGACAACAAAGTCAGTTTAAAAAACACGGCGCAAAACCGAACAGCAGGTAGAGAAGCAACATAGGAAGAAAGATGGAAAACATTTGACCTAAAATGATAAGCTCAATCACATCTGAGTCTGTCTGTGACATAGTATCTGGCTCAATGGGAAAATCGATCTGGGTTGCGACAGTTCTGGTGCACATCCTAGGCCGAACCCTCCAAGTCATTCAGTGTCTCCGGTGACCGACCCTTCAAACCCAAGATAACTGGAACTCTCCGAATCCGTTGACCCACCTCGGCCACAAGCCTCCAACTAAATCGAACCATCACCAGCAGGGTTGCATACCTGCCGACCGCCGACTCCGACTGCCGACCGTTTTGCAGCCGACCAGTAGGGCCAACCGGTCGGCAGTCTGCCGACCAGTCAGAAAACACCCATCCACAGATTTTTTTTCAGATCTGAGTTGGGGGCTGTACTGTGCTTGCTGAGTATAGCCCAAATCCGCTGAGAAACTTTTGTTCCCCTCTTCCCCTTCTACAGCGTGATCTCCTCCTCCTCCTCCCCCTCTTCTTCTTCTTCCCCTCCCTTCTCCCCCGCTGAGGCATAGGCATATGCATACCGTGTTCTTATTTTTTTGCCATCTTTAATTTCTTCTTCTTCTTCTTCTTCTTCTTCTTCTTCTTCTTCTCCTCCTCCTCCTCCTCCCCCTCCTCTGCTTTGCCCCCGCTGAGCCATAGCCACAGCCTTGTCATCATTCTTCTTCTTCGTGTTTTCCTCCTCCTCCTCCTCTCGTTCTCTCCCTGCTGAGCCTGAGCCATAGCCATAGCGATCTTTGTTTTTTATTCCGCATCTTAGGTATCAGATTCTTCCTTCTTCTTCTTCCAACTTCCCCACCACCCCACCCCACCCCCCAAAAAACATACTTTGCCAGTTTTAATGCAGAATCCGACCGATCTGGGCGATGGCAGTCTGATGCCTCAATCAGAAAAAATAAATAAAAAATAATGGGCATTTTTGGGGGGCATCCGGTTTTGCCGGTTCACCACCCCTGGACATGTCCGGCCCCGGTTGGACTGGGACTGGTTATGCGGCCGGTTCCCGGCCCAGCCTTGCTTTAAACAGGTTCCATTTATTATTAACTCAGAGGTAAATCACAGACTGAGTTTTAGTCCGCTGAGACAGCGGATTGAGTTCTGACTCGCTGCGACCATTTCCCTCCCTGAGTTTAAAACGTCATTTGTGTTTCCGACTTCCAAATCTGCAACATTACTGCAAATTCCTGAAGCCAAGTTTGCCAAAACAGTCTCCTGAGTGCGTGTAGGCAGTCTATCCGCTGGGCTCGAGTCCGTATTTACGATATTTACGGTATTTCACTTGCGATCTTGAAAAGTTAGTTTTCAAGGTACTCCGCCTCCAAGAGTACCTGTTTGAAGGTGCCCTCTTCTAGCTCCCTGGTTCAGTTCACGAGTTTTCCGGCCCTCGATCCCTTTTAGGAACCCCCCTGGCTGTATCTCTGGTCCGAACGGAACCCATTTGGAATTTTTCAAAATTACTCGGGTAACAAAATCCTGAATAAAATAGAAAAAGCATAGAATAATTAACTAGAATTCGAAACGTGTTGAAAGAATAGCTAGTAGCTACTGTTTGCTTGGAATTTTCCCTCCGCACACCTCGACATGAAGTTCACTGCCAGCTGTCAATGTCCCCTTCGTACCGTCTTTCGTCTTCTATCTCTCTTCCTTCCCTCCCTCCCTCTCCTTTCTCTCTCCCTTTTTTTTTTTTTTTTTTTTTTTCCCCCCAACAAGGCATACATTCCATTGGCAAAACTCAGAAATCAGCTGTCTCAGTCCGTGCTTGGCAGGTCCTTACACAAGGCCTAATTGCCTAGAACTTCCGGAGAAAAAGGATCCCTGGTAAGTAGCAGGTACTCTCTCGATCTTTTATTTCTTAACTTTCTCTCTCTTTCCCCCTTCTCTCTCTCTCTCTCTCTCTCTCTCTCTCTCTCTCATCTGCTCTTTAGTATATTCTCCAAGTGAGTACATTCTGTACTGTTCCGTGAGCATAGTTCAACCCGAACCTGGGCGAACGCGGCGGCAAGACCCATCCACTTTCACTTTGTGAAGATATCAATAGGATATCCAGTAGCGCCCTCATGATCACGCCTCAGTTTATTAGTGTCAGTCATAATCTGCTGAATCATAGCGTGCACAGTTTGTTCCACTTTCCTCTTGCCAGATCAGCTGAATTTCCCGTTGATGACCCGGACTAATAGTGTCTGTACAGCTAGGGAGCCAAGAGGAATTTGTGGACATGCCGTGTGCTTTCTGTGTGATTGTGCGCATCTCCAGCTTTGCACACCTCCATTCAATCCGTGCCCATTCCCTCGTTAGTGTTCTTCCCTTTTGAGTGGCACTCACGATCAAGCGTATAATTACGTCAAGTATCCGCTCAACCAACCGAGATAGGGGGCAAATTTATGCATTTTTTGCACTTTGTGTGTGTAGGAAGTGACTTGGGTGTGCGCAACAGCAAACGTGCGGTGCTCAAATCCAGGACTTTTCCCAAACGAGATCAGTTGCGGGTGATTGTTCGGAGCTTGATTAGATCTATGTTGTGCGCAGAAGTTGGCGTGACGTCCACATGCCCATACAACACTCATGCAGGAACAATTAGTGGATTCATCTTGATGCATGGACCAGGGCCAGGATACCCGGTTTGCCTCCCCTGTGTCCATACACACGAGCCTTTGATCTGTGCGTCCTCACTTCTGCGAGTTATATGAGCTCCCTCTCCTTCGTCGCCCCCCTTTCGCATGAGCAATCATCAATTGAGAACACGTCCCGGTTCACGTGCAGTGGAAGCGTGCGCATGATTTTTGTGGAATCCAAGACGTCTGACTCAGACGCCTTTAATAGGTGTGCACGTGCTTGCCCTTGATCGCCCCTTTTGTGCGCTGATTAACAAAGAGATTACGTCCGGGTTAGTGTGTTTTCCTTTGCGCATGAACGCGACCAGGACTGAGTGCTGCGAGAACGAGCAGTCCCTAAGCGCTCCCTTTTCAAATCTGTATTTCATTAGTTGTGAGGGAATCTCAGTTGTTCCTTCTGCTCTCTCTCTCTCTCTCTCTCACACTCTCTCTTTGTCGAGCATGAATCAAGCCAGGGTAGTGTCCTGGTTCACAACTGCCTCACGAGTCCTGTGCCCGCTCTCTGTCAAGATTGCAGATTGTCTTGCATGATTGCTCTTAAACCACCACTCCCTCTGCCACCAGGAAAAAGCCCTCCCGGTGACCTTGGGCGGGTTTTGAGGGAGGGGGGCGACTGGAGACCGAAATGGCGGGCCTGGTCCCACAATTTCAACGTAGCAACTTTGGCGATTTTTCGAGCTCAGAAGAATTCACAGAAAATTCTGAAAATTTGAGCATCAATCTTTCGAGGAAAAATAACAGAAAAAATAAATAAATCATTTTGACCTTG